CCGTTAAGTCCCTTCTAGGACCTCCCCCGTCTGGTGTTCCTCCAATTTTAAAAAAAAGGGTAAAATTTTTGATAATCATCATTTGGCTTCATTGGCTCCACCTCCTCCCGTTAAGTCCCTTCTAGGACCTCCTCCTTCTAATGGTTCTCCAATCTTGGAAAATCAGGGTAGAATTTCTGAAACTCCAAGGTCTTCTTCTCACTTGTTGTGCGTCAACTGTAAAGACTTTGGTCACATTTCTTCTAAATGTCCTAATCGAACCTTAGCTATGGAAGAACGAAAGAATGTAATAGAGGAGCCGTTAGAAGATCTAGTCTATGAACCTAAACTTGAAGATTTTAATGACTTGGATGATAGTGAGGACATTTTCTTAGGTGGAATCCAGACTCTTCTCGAGACTTTGGATACTATACCCCTTATCTCCGACAATTCTCGATCACATGTTATATGTTATACCCTTACCCAAGTTAAAGAGCTTGATGATGTCACCAGTCACCCTCGGAAAATCCAGTCGCCTGTGGTTAACACTAAGGCAAAATTATCCACCACCGACCAACCTCAAATTGATAGTCAAAACAAAAGTGCTAACCAAAATCCTGACAATTTATTACAGTCTTTAGTCCAGAAAAATCTTGGGAATTGGGACTTGATCCCTCCAACTGTTCAAATTGCATATAACGATCCTGTGAACTGGTCTTTAGGTCTAAAACCCTTTGCAATTATTCTTGGTTGTGAATCTTTGAAACCTCTAGACCTTATTTCCGTGCACCCACATGCTTGTGTGTCTATGTCAGTTGAGGTAGTTGTATTACATTTTCATAGCTTGCATATTGAGATCAATAAACAATTTGAAGCAAGTAAAGCATTATATAAACCTCAAGTTGATTGGCATAAACAATACTTTGAATTTAATATTGGGGATTATGTTATATTGCAAGCGTATAATGCTGGTCTTTTTAAAATTTCAAAGCATGTTGGTCAAAATGTCTATGTCAATGATCTTATATCACATTATGACCATCACCCTATTTTATTTGTTAAGGATTTTGATATTTAGAATGGCTATTTTAACACTTTTATTGATCCTTTTCTATCTCTACCTGAGAACTCCCACACCGAATCTTTTGCCATCTCTATTCGAATACCACCTGTCACAGCACACAAAGATAAAATTGATGTAATTTTAGATGAATAGGTTGTGTTAACCATTGATGGAGAGAATCGGTGCTTCTTTAATTGTTGGGTAGATCAACGTTCTTATTGTGCTCCACATTATGCGCAATCGTGTGAAGATTTTGGAGATGAGTTGCAGGAGTACTTGTTATTTGGAGTCCAATGTCGGTACTTGATTAAAATGAGGGATCGTCCGCCTTGGTCGGATCATATTCTTGAGGACAAGTTGCCATTTGCATTGTTATCAACCGTGGAGTTCAGATATTTGGTTCTTCAAAAAGATCGCCCCCCGTGGCTTGACTTGAAGCATTTGGAGTATCAGATTGACTACTGCCTATACTATCTATCCACTCGACAGGGTCGAGTTTTCTCCCACCCCGGGAGAGTTGATGAGGACATCGGACGACGTTTACTTATTTTATTTAAGCTTTATTTATTTTCTTGGACTATTATTTAAATTTGGACTTGTATGGGCTCAGGCCCAAGCTCATTAGGGTTGGTTTACTATTTAAACCTATTTTGCATTGTAACTTTCAGTTGATGATGAATTAGAATTGAAATATTTTTGGTGGCTTGCAGCCGTTTTCTCCCTCCCCTCTCTTCCCATGGTTTCTTCTCCCTTCTCTCTGTTTCTCCTCCCCGTTCCTTCTTTTTTCTTTCTTATTCATCCTACATCAGAAGCTAATGCATTGAATTTTAGAAACATAAAACTAAGGTGCAAATAATTTCAGCACAACATATTAAAAGAAAAATAAATAAATAAATAATAAAAAATAGAAACAATTTCATCTTAGGCTTACACGCTCATAAGTCCAAATCAAAAGGTATACATACAACACATTAATTGAGATCAATGCAAATAGATATCACATCATTTGGTTTCTATAGCGAAAGAAGGGCCAAATGGAAAGGTAAATAAACAAAATGTCATAAAATGTCGCTTCTTTCTGTCAAGATCATATACTATCTAAACATAAGTGATGATTTTATTACTTGGCTACTAAACAAATAAAGACACTAATGGCATGTTTTAAGGTGGATTGAATTGAATCAGACAATACAAAAGAAGAAAATAAAGCAAAAATCAAAATCTTGTCAGTATTGTCCAATTGTATCAAGTACTGCATACCAACATATTTTATATGTAATTTAATATAAATGCAAAAAAATTCTATCTAACTGGGGTGTTTGCAATCTAAATTGAAGTGGAACTTTGGTGTAGATGACTGCAAGTACTACATTATATTTTTCTTCAGTGTTCAGATTATGAAAAATAAATCATTTAAACTCGAGATACATTAACACCGGGCAAACCAAGTAAGGATGATATTCAATTGATACAAGGAGAGAACTGCCTTAATATCAATTAAAACACTGGACACAAATTTACTTTTCTCATATAAACTTTGCTTTTATACAAATTTAATAAATAAATCTAAAATTTGCTAAACTCGGCATAAATACAATGAGGAAGACATGAAGTAGCACATAAAGGATATGCTTTTGCCATTAAATCACGGCACATAAGAGATATGCACAAGCAAATCAATGTTAATGGACCAAAGTCCTCACTAGACTTCAAAAGATATATAAAAACAAAACTATTCAGTGTCGTAATTTTGTTATAAGAATCAGAGTAATTGATAGAAAATGTTCAAATATTATTAGAAATAATTTACCCCAAAACGCGAATATGCAAGAATATACAATCATCATATGACCAAGACATTAAATTATTGCCACTGAAAAGAACATTATAGATCTCGCGAGGAAAAAAAAAATTAAAATAAAAAATTGTAGACCGTCAACTATTCACAGAAATTAAAATAATTCCATACAGACCAAAGAAAAATGCCTTTCAAATTTTTTCAATATTCAATTAACTAAAAGGAACTTAAAATAAAAATACAAAAAACCAGCCACTTTATACCTTGTACGCTTGAAATTGCATAGAGAAGTTCCCTGGTGTGAGATTCTGTGAGTTCTTTAACAAAATAATATCTAAATGTTAGGGAAGTTTCACGCATTTAAGATTGTTTAACAATCTTAAAGACACTCCAATAGTCCAAGCTGGCAGACCCTTGAAATACCACTAGCATAACAGCTGTGCAATGAATGAATTTAGACCCATATATTAAGATATGAACCAAACATACTAGAGAAAGTCAAGTTTATTGAAAATGTGTTTCAGTTTATTGTTGTATATCATACATCTTATAAATTGTTGGCAACATACTGGAATCGTTGAAAATGATTTTTCTTCTAGGAGTAATGGATATATCCAATTGAATCCCTTTTCGAAGACGAACAATAAATTATTATTTCACAATTATCTCCACCTAAAAATGTCAAGAAGAGATTCAACAAATGGCTGCACAACCTGCTTATCTACTCAACAAGCCCATAGTGGAACTAGATATCAATTCTGTCATGGGAACCAAAAAACGTAAATATAGTATATATCAGTTCAGTCCATCTTCATGGTGGTACAAAATACTTTCAAGTTCAAAATCAGGAATAAAAGTCCTCGTACATGTAGACAGCATAACGCTCTCTTACTAATTAACAAAATCTGAAAAACATTAGCGGTTATTGTCTTATTTATCAGTATCCAAATCATTTCTTAATTAGAACGAATTTAATGTTTCATTTCCATTGAGCATCAATTGAATTCCTATGGAAGTTGTAAGTGAAAAGAAACAAAATCCCACAGAACAAATTATTTAGGGTTCAGGTCCCGCCACAGCCATCAGAAAGCCGACCTTTTACCGTTTTGCACAATGCTATATATGGATCCATATTGATCGGACAGCGATTTCTTCCCTTCTTCACAACGAAATAACTATTTAACCTTGAAAATACGATAATCATTTGAAAGAACCCTCAGAATACGAGAACGTAACACGAGTATTATCAACACGAAAAATCTATTAATTTACTTCCAGTGGAGATCTCCATCAAGACTTCTTCAGACTACATGATCCATGAAAAATAAGTAATTAAACGCCCAACTTTTCATTAAATTACACGTAGATGATTTAAAGGACGAAATACTGAAAGTTCAATTAATTACAAACAGGCATCAAAACTGAGTTCATAAAAGCAAACACAAATCTCCTGCGCGAAAGTTCACATATATAACAGAAACAATCTGGATTTAGTGTCTACAAGAGCAAAAGGCTTCCAGCAGTAAGGCAAACAATTATTCGAACTTTTCAAGGTGTTAATATAGTTAAAACTATATTAATTTGCCTCCAAAATAGGATATAAGCATGAAAAAAATCTGAAAATTAACACAAATATAAAATTACGATAGCATGAAACCAAACCAGTATATAGAAAAAGTACCTGAGTGATTGAGTTTCTTTATATCGTCCCTAGGACCAAGTATTAACTGCTGTTAAAACATAAATCGCAATCAGGCTTATATAATTGGAAAATAAATTGAGGAAAATCAAGCAAGGAATCGTTACAAAAAAAGGAAATAAAATAAATCTTCTGGAAATTTTGAAACCTGTAAAGGAATTTCCTTTTTGTTCGCAGAGCCATGACTGAATGCATATATGACCATTGAAGGAAACAAAGATCTTCTCATATCCGTGTTGCATCCATGATATTGTAATTTTCCATGAGATCACCTCGTTGCAAACAATAGAAAAATCAAATATTACCAAAACTAATAAAATCTGCATCGTTTAAGAAAACAAAATTCACATAAAATATAAAATCAAATATTAACTTTACAAAGAAAAGCACAAGTTCTGCATACAAGGACCTGTCTTGACAAACTTAAGGCTGATATTGCAGAAGGAATGGATCAAGAATTGAGTAAATTAGTAGCAGAAAAATGGTAAAAAAACATAGTGAGGTTAATATATTCTATTTTATTCCCAAGACGGCCCTAGAAAACCACAATTTTACCGTTAATAGAAAAATAACCAGGCGTACCTTCCCAACTCCAACATAAAAAAATCAGGCTCCACAGCTCCATTAATCATGGTATATTTTTATTTGGATAAGGTAAAACCCAAAAAAATAAAAAATAAAAATAAAAAAAGAAGAAGAAGAAGTATTAATTGCATAAACAAAATCACATCAAGAAAAATGAAAATAAAAAATTGTGGGTGCTAAACCTCTTCGTTCTGCTGTATAGACTTCCTTTTTCCTCACCCACAAATGACTTCAAACTGTGAATTTTTTTTACGTTTTTTTTGTGATCAAATATAATAGTATTTATGATGTCATAAATCAGCACAGAGGGCCTGTCGGTACTTTCGTGTCAAGTAGTGATGGTGGTGGCACTGCGGCGGCAGCAGTATATGGATAAGCTTATAGTGCCATATCAAATGGCTATTGGCTAATATTTGCGGTCAGCTTCTGAAATTGCAGGCGGCCTCTTTTCAGCTTTGTTCACAGCAAAACTTTAGGCTGAATAAGGGGGAGTAGGCGGGTGTGATAAAAAGCCATATATTAGTCCAGAAAGGAAAAATCGAGACGGCTGGCTGACAGAAAGAGTAGTGAGCACGCGCATCCACAAAGGTATGGTCTTTATACAATTGTCTGCGTCTGCTCACTCTCTTCTGTCAGTACTCTCATCGATCGCGTCCTTCAGAAACACAAAGCCCATAGATTTCTTGACAGAGATGCTCTATATGTTTTTTCATTTTGACTAACGTTGATATCAGATCTGAAAACCAAAGATACTCCCACTTTTGGAAAGAAAAACCCCCAAACCCTTTACTATAAACGCTCATACAAATCATTAATTCCATACATTAACAACTAGAGTTTTAAAGTCACCGTGTTCATACTTGATATTCGTAATTCATCTATTAATTTTTGTGTGCTAATAAAACCTCTGCCTCCCCCCCCCCCCCCCCCCCCAAAACTCCTTCCCAGAAAAATAAAATAAAAATAAAAATAAAAATAAAAAATAAACACCACCCCGCCCCAAGAAAGTCTGAATAAACTCTTTCATTTTCATTATCTTCATGCATCAAACTAGCAAGAAAACGCCATTCTCAATTTCCAAACTGTTGATTCGAGAAAACACTTTTACAAATTACAGAAGACCTTAAAGAAGTGATTATATCCATGGCATGTGAGAAGTTTTACTTTATCCTCCACAACATAATTGTGGTTTGGCTATTATTCATCCAATCAATCCCTTCATCAGCGTACACCAAAAGGACAATATCACAAACAGGTGGGGTTCTAAGAAGGAGGTTTCGATGATGGATTGGTTGGTCAGGAGGGGCTTCCTGGAGGTACTGCTTAATGTCGGATTAACTAGCTGGGTTATTCTAATGCCAAGATTGTCACAGAGAAGAATTACAAGCCGTTGGATTAAATGCTTGGTGGGGCCCTTCGTTCTTGACGAATGGGTGTTATTGGAAGTTGTAGTACAGACGACGAAACTGCGTCATTTCAGGGAGACAAGGATTCAAGACTATTTAAAAGGAACAATGGCTTTTTACAAATAATTGTAGGGATTTCCCAAATTTTTTTTTTTTTTTTTTTTTTGGGTTATCGAGATTTTAAATTGGAGCAGGCTTAGGCGTGCTTAAGATTTATTTTCTTAAGAAAAAAGTAAGTTTTGTCTGTTAATAACTCTACAACCAATGTTTGATAAAATAAGTAATTTCAAAGTAAATCTAATTACTTTTGAGTACAGTATGATCTTACTACGAAATCTAAAAGTTTCTGCTTCGGTGTAGTGGATAGCTATCTATCATTAATTTTTAAATTTGTTGAGAATGAGATTAATTTATCTATGTGAACTAAAGAAAAAGGTTAAAAGTGAAAACAAGAGGAAAAAAAAGAAAAGAAGAACAAATTGTTGAGCCACCAAAAAACTAAGAGTGTGTTTGATTACATTTATTTTTCATAAAAAATATCAGTTTTTCACCCAAATTCCTACTTGAAGTATTTGATTGTTATTTTTTTTTATGGAAAACATTTTCCAACTTTTGAAAATATGTCTAATTTTTCTTTTTTTTAAGGAAACATTTTCCTTGGGTGGAAGTGATTTTTATTTTCCACAAAAGAAGGAAAACATTTTCATCTCTCGGTGATATTTTTCATACCAATCAAACACACTCTAAGTTTTATTGAGAGAATTATGTTTATGTATGTATACAAGAAGATCAAAACTTAAAAAGAAACCTAGCAAAGAAGGGAAACTAATAATATTATGTTATAATATTTTATTGCATAATATATAAATATATATTATATTATAATATTCCCTCAAACTCACGATGTGACAGCAAGAACAAACGAGAGTTTTCAAGCAAGAAGTGAAAACGATGAACCAAATGAGACTTCGTGAAGAAGTCAGCAAGCTACAAGATAAAGAAATAAAAGGTAGGAAAATTGTACTAGTTTGCAGATGATGGCGGATCAGATGACAGGCAATCTCAATGTACTTTGTACACTCATGGAATATAGAGTTGTGCGATATCTGAATAGCACTTTTATTGTCACAATATATAAGGATTGGAGAGGAAGAAGGAACACCCATGCTTGCAAGTAAACAACGCAACCATACAATCTCAATGGTGGTGGATGACATAGCACGATACTCTATCTCAGTAGAGGAGTAAAAAATTACAGTTTGTTTCTTATTCTTCCAGGAGATAAAGGAATCACCCAAAAATATATAAAAACTAGTAGTGAAGTTTCGATCAGTGGGTTTATTGGCCCAATCAACATCAGAGTAAGCATGAAGCACCAAATGGAAGGTCGAGGGAAACATAAGACTAAAAGCAAGTACTACGAAGATAACGCAAAATACGAACAACAGTTGCCCGGTGAACTGTTGTAGGGGCCAAAACAAACTGATTAACAATATGAACAGCATAAGCAATATCGGGACATATGATGGTAAGATAAACTAGACATCCAACATTGGTGTGATACAAAGTGGGATCAACCAAGGGTACACCATCAGAAGGTGAATAACTAGCATTAGATTCAAGAGAAGTGTCAGTAGTTTTAGTATTAGTTAGACTAGCACGCTCAATAATATCCATATCTAAGTCCTTCATTTCAAAAAGACAAGCCAATTCGAAATTCAAATCAAAATCCCATCAACATCATCACTAGTAATGATTATATCATCAACATACAGTAAAAGCAGAATGTGACCAACTGAAGTACACTGAAAGAATAGTGCGGAGTCATGATGACAAGATCTGAAGCCAAAACAGGTAACAATAGTGAGAATTTTCTCAAACCAGACACGAGAAGCTTGTTTAATAAAGTGCCTTCTTAAACTTACAAACAGATCCAGGAGTATAAGAAAGATCGGGAAGGAAACCATATAAATCTCCTCTTGAAGATGTCCATTCATCCAATTGAGAGAGACTCCATTGACGAATAGATGCAATTACAATAAGTGTACAAACAGTGGTCATCTTAGCAACAGGAGCAAAAGTCTCCTCATAATCTAGACCAAACTGCTGATTAAAACTCTTAACAATCAAGCTAGCCTTATAATCCTCAACTAAACCATCAGATTTGGTTTTAATCTTATGAGCCCAACAAGAACCAATAGCATGTTTACCTAAAGGTAAGGTCACCAAGCCCCAAATGTCTGTTTTATGCAAAACAAAGAGTTCATCAGTCATAGCCTGTTGCCAAAGAAGATTTAGAATCTTTGTAAGAAGAAGGTTCAAATAGCTTGTGTAAAGAGGTAAGAAAATAGCAAAAGGATTCTGAATAACAAGAATAAGCAAAATCAAGTAATTTAGTAGACTTACAAATACGTTGAGAATAACGAGAAGAAGGAGAAGGAGTTGGATCAACGATCTCAAGTGGTGCTTGAGAGGCCATAAAAGAGGAGGGATATCATAAAGTGATGCATGTGTACCTATAAGACATGAAGAATCAATAGTACATGGGGTATGAGAAGATAGTCTATCAATATCATCAAAGAATATATGTATACGAATGAGATCAGTTTTAGTCACATCAAGAGTATTATCAGAAATAAAAAAAAAAGAACTAAATATGCTCAAAAACACAACATGATGAGAAACATATATTTTTTTATTAATGAGATCAAAATAGCGAGAACCATTTTGGCTCTGCCCATAACCAAAGAAAACACATATAGCAGAGCATAATGTCAACTTATTGCGTTCTGCATCACGATGAAGAATAAAACAAGTATAACCAAAGACTCTCAATGAGGAGTAATTAAGAGGATACCCAAACAAAAATTTCAAATGGTGAGAGGCCTGAAGCATAGGAAGATGGAATCTTATTAATAAGAGAAATAGTAGTAAGAACTGCTTCTCCCCAAAATTCACTTATTAATTAGAACTTTGTCGGACAAGAGAAAGAAACGAGCAGTTTTTACAATGTGCCTATGATTTCGTTCAACAACACCATTTTGTCGTGAGGTGTTAGTGCATGAGGTTTAATAAATTGTGCTATCAAGAGAAAGCAATTTAGGAAAATCTGTAGAAGTATATTCTACTCACAAATCACATCAAAGCACTTAATTATAGCAAAATGTTGAGTTTTATTAAGTACTCTAAAAGAAAGATAAATAGAAAGAAAGACATAACGTCGTCTGATGAGATAAACTCAATAATAACGACTATAATTATCAATGAAAGACACATAATATCTTGGCTCTCCTTTTGTAGCAATAGGAGTAGGTCCACACACATTAGAATGAATAATATCAGATAGTAAAACAGAAGGAGAAATATTTCGAGGAAAAGGTAAAGCAAAAAATTTTGCTAATTTGCAACCACTGCAATTAGAAATATCATGAGTCTGTAAATCCCCCAATTGACCCTTAGAAACTAAAAATTTCAAACGACTAGCGAAAATATGTTCAAGGTGAGAACTACCAATAAAAACTAGAAGAAGAGGAATTCAAAGAAAAAGATGACAAGTTAACACCAAATGCTGCAACTTGTGGTAGTTTTAAATTGTCCAAAACATATAAACCTCCTGTCTATGGCCTTTCCCAATCAGTTTCTGAGATCGAGGATCCCGTACATGATAAGCAGTAGAAGAAAACTGAACAAAGTATCCAGAATCACATAATTAGCCAATAGAAATAAGATTTAAAGTAAAAGTTGAAATACAATAGACGTCTGAAATCAAGAAATTATGTATGTTGACAGAGCCAACACTTACTAAGGGCAATAAGGTGCCATCAACAGTTAAAACCGACATAGATGAATTAGGAAGGCGTAAGTCATTAAAGAAATTTGAATTAGATGACATCTGTTTAGAAGCACCTAAGTCAACGATCCATGAGAAATAAATACCTAAGGGACTCTGGGATGACAAACCTATGTGAGTAAAGGTTGATATAGCATGTGGCTGTGTGGCTAAGAATTTCTAAAACTGCTCTACTAAATCAATTAACATGGGATTGGAAAAGGATGGTGCTCCAAGTATAGACAAATTACCAGGTGGCATGGTGGTAGCTATGTTAGCATTGGGATGATAGGATCATTATTGTGGTTGTTGCTTCTTCAATAGTTTAGAACACCGAGACTTCCAAAGTCCCTTTTATTTATAAAAATTACACTCATCACTAACAACTATTATATAACCTTTGTTCTGAGTCTGCATGGATGGTTGAGAGGGTACAGCCAATACTAAGGTGTTAGATGAAAGAAGAGATACTTCTTCTGTAAGGGTTTCAATTGTGTTTCCTCAACCTCAAGTTCACTAACCACCGAATCAACCGAAGCAAGTGGAGTGCTATGTATGATAGAGCCTCTAAGTCCTTCAAAATCACTGCGAAGTGCCATCAAAGACTGAACTACTTGTTGCTCCTCTTTAAAAACAATATATTCCTCACATGCTTTCAATTCTGTTAATTCTATA